TAATAATTGAAATGATAAAATGAATAATGAAATTTTTACTAAAAAAATTAATTTATATGTTAGATAATATTGAGTAAAAATTATATCCTTTAAATCATTTTTTTTTTTTTTGTTGTAAAATTGAATAACTAATCATTTGAATAATTAAGAACAATGTAGTAAAATTGTAAATTGGAAGTTTCTTTTTTTTTTAAATTTGAATTTTCACTAATCTCATAAAATATATTTATGATAATAGTATAGTGGAAAATATTATATATAAACGATAAATATATTTGCAGCAAAAATATTAGGTAGAATAAGTTTGCATCATCATTTTGAAATCATGTGATAAATAAATAAATTAATTAATCAATCACTTATGCTTACTTGTATGAGTAATATTACATCTCTGTGTTCATCAATAAATTTTCTTTATCATTGATTTTTTTTCGTGCTCTGTGATATTTCTCAAAATGTATTTCGATTTGATTTGATGTATTTTGTATGAAAAATAATCTTATATTATATTATCAGTGTAATAAAATTGGATAGATTACTACATGTTAACCTAAATTTGTGTTCAAATTCAAGGACATTATAGAGCAGACGATAGAGACGATTTTTCTTTTGCAGTAATAACTGATATTGATGAAGTCGAATGGAAAAATACGAACATCTGATTGGTGGCTTCACCGGTGGTATAATAAGCACTATTGCATGTCATCCGTTAGATCTTCTCAGAATACGATATTCCGGTTAGTTAATAGTTAATACTTTTTTTAAAAATACGAACATCTGATTGGTGGCTTCACCGGTGGTATAATAAGCACTATTGCATGTCATCCATTAGATCTTCTCAGAATACGATATTCCGGTTAGTTAATAGTTAATACTTTTTTTAAAAATACGAACATCTGATTGGTGGCTTCACCGGTGGTATAATAAGCACTATTGCATGTCATCCGTTAGATCTTCTCAGAATACGATATTCCGGTTAGTTAATAGTTAATACTTTTTTTTTTTCATTGAATCTGTTACAAATCAATGTATATGTAAATCAAAATTTACATTCTCCATTCATTTTATTTTCTTTTTTATCATTTTATTTTATTCTGTAATATTTTGCCTTTTTTTTTTATTTGAATAAATTTCATTATACATACATAGATCTAATATGTGTATATATATTATGTGATTAGTTCAGCAAATCATCTAATTCTCGAGTATTTGTATTAGTTCAGCAAATCATCTAATTCTCGAGTATTTGTATTAGTTCAGCAAATCATCTAATTCTCGAGTATTTGTATTAGTTCAGCAAATCATCTAGTTCTCGAGTATTTCTATTAGTTCAGCAAATCATCTAGTTCTCGAGTATTTGTATTAATTCAGCAAATCATCTAATTCTTGAGTATTTGTATTAGTTCAGCAAATCATCTAATTCTCGAGTATTTGTATTAGTTCAGCAAATCATCTAATTCTCGAGTATTTGTATTAATTCAGCAAATCATCTAATTCTTGAGTATTTGTATTAGTTCAGCAAATCATCTAATTCTCGAGTATTTGTATTAGTTCAGCAAATCATCTAATTCTCGAATATTTGAAGTAATAGTGAAATTTTAATGCATTATCACTGTATCATGAATGTTTTCTTTTGTGTGCTATTGTGGTACATTTCATTTGCATATGCATTGTTTCAAATGTGATGAATGTAAGGAGTTCTAGCTATACTTCATGATGTAATCTTAAATTTGACAACTTGAAAATATATATGAATGCAAATATACAAGTGCTGTTTTACTTAGAGTGCTTAAAATATACGCGTGAAAGTTTTGAATTTTATACATCAAGTTTTATTATGCAATAATCTATTGTATAGGATCAGTAACATAATTGAGTATTTTAAGGTAGATTTTAGAGTATCAAAATCTGATTCTTCCGCTCTTGTTTTTTTGAAAAATGTAGCAAATTTTTTTTTAGCAATCGGAAGAACTTATAAAATCTACCATTTTATGTTAAGCAAACATCCTAACATTAGTATTAGCAACAATTTTATTACATATTTCATTGTTTTATGATATCTGATAGATTATCATTGCAGCTAATGATGGTAATCGTCAACGTCCACAATATCGTAATTATTGGCATGCAGCGCGGAGTATTATACAATCTAAAGGATATAAAGGTTTGTATCAAGGTCTATCACCGAATTTGGTTGGATCCGCTGTATCTTGGGGACTTTATTTTCAGTTGTAAGTTTAATTCTTGTTGAAATGCTTTTTTTAAACTGATATGATCTTAACAGCATTCATGTTTTTCGTTATGCTCAAGTATTCGCTGAAAAAAAAACTTTAAATTTAGGAATGGTATTATGTTAATGCAACAAACTATGATTTTCATTAGCATTTGAAATGTTCCAAGATTGCTTATAATTAATAAAGATCACATTTCATGTCTTGCACCTTTATGATTAAGTTTTAGGTAATATTAAATTGATTAAGGTAAATTAGCAGTTATAGTTTTATTTGTTGAACGTTGCGAAAAATATCCAGAATTATACTTTTTGATATTGCAATAAATTTTAGGGATATAGAATGTTATCCATTAAATCCGAATTAAAGTTCCATTAGTCTTTTTTTTTTTAGTATAATTAAATTGTTTTATTATAGCTATCATATTATCAAAAGATTATGCGTTGAGAAAACTATTTCAACCGGAGCAGAACCGGTGGATAATGTCCTGATGGGAATGGTTACTGGAGCTGGTATTTTACTGTTCACTAATCCCATTTGGATGGCAAAAACTCGATTATGCTTACAATATGAAAATGAAAGAATCAGATATCGAGGACTTTTGGACTGTATTTCTACAGTTGCTCGTAATGAAGGAATTACTGCGTTATACAGAGTTTGTCCTTTTTTCACTCTTTTTCTTTTTATTATTTGTTTAAATGTTTTAAATTTTTTCATCACAATTCATGACCAAAAGAAAATGCTTATTAAAAAAAAAAAAAGGCTGAGAAGAAATAATTTAAACCAATAGGTATAAAGATTTAAATTTTTATTTAAATCTTGGAGGAAAAATTACCAAAATTTTTAACGTTTATGAGGATATAACTTTCTATTCTGATAATTTTTGTTAGCAGAATGTTGAGGATAAAGGAATGATTAGAAAAAAAAAAAAAAAGAATTTCATTTGATTGTGATTCGTTGCTTTATTTAAGCATTTTTTAGGCCAAATTAGTAAGGCTTCCTGAAGTGATGATACCATAGAGTAAGTAAGATGTTCAGGTAATGATATGGACAACTTGTTGGTTAGTAGCACCTTACGGATTAACTGAAGAAATAAGTATTTTATGAAAGTTATGGGGAATTTTTGTAGTGAATTTTAGTTGTCAAATGATTGATAACGCATATTTCTGTAGTAGGATATTTCCTTTCATCCTTTATATCAATTGCATTGGCTTATTTTTTAAAGTATTTTAGGGTTTTACACCAGGAGTTATTGGAACCATACATGGTGCAATCCAGTTTATGCTTTACAATCGTTTCAAGGACAATCGATTAAAACGTTTAGATCTACCTGCTAATCATATTTTGGTTTGTTTTCATATATTTCTTCTATGTAATAAATTCTTAATACGATTCTCAATCGCTTTCTGATCGATTCCAAATTCTAAACCTATTTAATAAATGTTTACAGCAGTTTTTGGACCTATAGCAAAGATGGTGCCAATAATTTGGTCGTTTATTGTTAGTAGTAGTTATTGCAAAGGAATTATAATGCATTTGGAGTATTCAATTTGCATGGGAATTAAGAAAATTTTTTTTTTTCAGAGTACTGTTGATTGCTTGGTATATTCAGCTGTATCCAAAGTAATTTCTACAACAATAACATTCCCGTACCAAGTGCTACGAACTCGATTACAGGTAAATATTAGTAATAATTTTTAATTATTATAAGTAAATGAAAGTTCAAAGTATGTTAAGGTTAGTTTTTGTTATTTATTTTTTTTTTTTTTCATATTTATTTTTATAATATAGAAACAGTTTTATATTTATAGGATCATCATGCACAATATAATGGAATATATGATTTGATAAGCAAAACATATAGAATGGAAGGTGTACGTGGATTTTATAAAGGTTTACTCATGGGCAACTTACGTCAGCTACCAAACGTTATTGTTACATATGTAACCTATGAGAATGTAAGGTATCTTGTTCGTCATCTTTCTCAGTGAAGTTCTTATATGTGCAATTACTTTGATCTAACTACCTCATGATGTTTCTTCCATTAATTTATTTATTTATTTATTTAATTGTACGATATTTATTAATCATTCATATGATATTACTTATAATGTGTTGTTTTCGTAGACAGTGATAGAAGAAGGGAACAAAAATGCAACAAAATTTTTTCATGATGGATTAAAAATTTATCTGAAATTTTTTCAAAATAAATGAATAAAGCTAATTTTAACTAATTCAAGTGAATAAAGCTAATTTTAACTAAACTACACCACAAGCATTATTTTTCCTGAGTACAGTTTTTCTTTTTTTTTTTTTTTTTTTTTTTTTCTTATCAAATAAAATGGCTTTAGTGGTATAAATTTTGCTAAAAAGCTTTTATAAACGATTATCGAAAGTCATAAAAGAGAAATTTCAATAAACTTATTTCAAAGGATTTGGATGTTAAATGTCAATAAGGATAATTCCGATCAAACAGTTATAATCATTCATTCTTATATAACTAAAATTAGTTAAGTAGTTAAGCAGGAAAAAACTTTTTTGTAATTTTGACTTATAAATTATTAACACTTCTAAATGCTTCATATCATACCTTTTTTTTTTTTTAGATATCAATTCAGTTAGTAAAAATTTAAGAAAATAATATTTGGAAAAAATGACTTAAATTGATTAAACAGATTGCTTTTCAACTTTTATTTGCAATGATTTATAGAAATCTTTAAATAGCATTTATTTAAAAATTATAAATGCATATAAATTAATGAGCAAAATTTACAATGATAATGATGCTGTTGTTTGTGTCCATTTTGCTATAAACTGTAATACATCACTTATATTTTCAGTTGATTTTGTCTTTTGTGCCATAATGAAACAACTCCATGTATCACGATCGGCTACTCTACCAGATGATCCAAATTCTTTAACATTTCCATATGTTGGATAACCTTTAATAAATTTTAAAAAATATTTTATCATTATCAAAAAAAAAAAAAAAAGGAGAAATTTTTCCATATGTAAAAAATTTAATTTTATCAAGTAGTGATTATAACATATATAAATAATATTTTGTTAAATAAAAAAAAAAAAAATGTTTTTATTGTTAAAATAAAATAAACAAAAAAAAAAAGAGCAAAAAAAAAACCTGAAATAAGACATGCTGGATGAGATATACCATTTGCATCAAATAAGCTTACTTCAAAATTACCATCATTATCATAGGGTAAATTTCGTTCTATACTTTGCTCCATCGAAATTGCTAACACCCATTCTTTTACTTCTTCATATTCATCATCCTCAAATTATATGCTATATACTTTTTAGAGAATTCTAGAAATGAAAAGTTAAAAATTTAATAATTTTATTTTTCAATAACAAAAAAAAAAGAAAAATATGAGAATTAATAGAGCTAAAAAAAGAAAAATAGAATAACAATTATTTATTTTGCTAAACAAAAAAAAAAAAAATGCTTTTAATATTGAAATAAAATTAACTCTATTAATTCTCTAAAAAAAAAAAAGAAAAAATTGGTATGAAATACACTTTACAGATGTATATTTTGTTGCAGGAAGTAATATTTGTTGTGGTATATCAGTGCCATCAAAAATGGAGCAATCAATAGCTGATGGATTTTGATCATCAATTGCATCACATAAATCAAGATAATGATTTAAAAGTATAAATGCTAAGCGTTCTTTTGTGGTACCCAATTTCTATGATAAAAAATTAATATACATTTTTTTTTTTTTTTTTAATTTATAAATTTGCTATTTTTGTTTAAAATATAATCAAAATTAATTAGACATATTTTTTTTTAGTATAATCATTGAAATATTTATTTGTTTTTATCGGGATTAGTACGAAAGGAAAGTTATATTTTTGAATTGATAATAAAAAAAAAATTAAAATGAAATAAAAATTTAACATCATTATTAACAATAGTATTAAAATTAGGAATATATTCACAATTAATTTAGCTAATTTAACTATATTCTTTTTTTAATTTATAAATTTGTTATTTTTGTTTAAAATACAATCAAATTAATTAGAAATATTTTTTTTTTTTAGTATAATCATTGAAAAAATTTATATTTTTGAATTTGATAATAAAAAAAAAATTAAAATGAAATAAAAATTTAACATCATTATTAACAATAGTATTAAAATTAGGAATATATTCACAATTAATTTAGCTAATTTAATTATATTCAAACTTATTGTTGATTGATTTAAAGATCCTTAAGTTCTTTCTTTTTTTTTGTAGAAAGAAATTATAGTAAAGTTTATTATTTAAATATCTTAAATAATTAAAAAAAAAGAAAATAAAATAAAATAAAGATATTATGTTTGAATTAAATTAGAAATAAATGATTAAAAAATTAGACAAACTCTGCATGCCATCCCAGCTTCATAAAAAACTTTATCAGCTTGCATAATATCACTATAACGAATAAAGCTTATCGTAATTTGAGCTACGATACGTTCTATCTCTGTTCCAGTATATTCGAGAATAGCTGAACGTAATGCACCATAATGAGCAATCTCCAAATATCTATTAAATAACTGAAATATTAAAAATTATTCGATAATAAAATTACTTATCATTTATTCTATAATCATTATTCTCTTATCATCTCCTGGATATAAGTAAAATAATCCCAAGAACTTTATTTTAATTATTCGGTTATCATCCTAAGATATTACTTTAATTATTCTCTTATCATCTCCTGGATATATATAATTCTAAAATATTGTTTTAATCTCTTATCATCACCTGGATATAAGTAAGATAATCCCAAGAACTTTATTTTAATTATTCGCTTATCATCCTAAGACATTACTTTAATTATTCTCTTATCATCTCCTGGATATAAGTAAGATAATTCTAAAGCATTATTTTGATTATTCTCTTATTACCCTAAGACATTACTTTAATTATTCTCTTATCATCTCCTGGATATAAGTAAGATAATTCTAAAACATTATTTTAATTATTCTCTTATCATCTCCTAGATATATATAATTCTAAAACATTGTTTTAATCTCTTATCATCTCCTGGATATAAGTAAGATAATCTTCAAGCTGTACTTTAATTATTCTCTTATCATCTCCTGGATATATATAGTTCTAAAATATTGTTTTAATTATTCTCTTATCATCTCCTGGATATAAGTAAGATAATTCTAAAACATTATTTTGATTATTCTCTTATCACCTAAGACATTACTTCAATTATTCTCTTATCATTTCCTGGATATATATAATTCTAAAATATTGTTTTAATTATTCTCTTATCATCACCTGGATATAAGTGAGATAATCCCAAAAACTGTACTTTAATTATGCTCTTATCATCTCCTGGATGTAAATAATATAATCTTGATAAGGATATAAATAATATATTCTCGATAAGATAAATATAATTATTTTAATTATATTTATCAATTAAAGAATGTAATTGTACAAATGCAAATTATCAGATAATTTAAATGTAACTTTAAATAATAAAATATATTACTTTTAATGATAAGTAAAAAAGATGAAAATTTTTTTTTATTTTTTTACCTCTTTTTGCTTCTCCTTAGTATTCATACCATTACATACCATAAGAAGAACATTTCGTAAAGTTGCCCATTTTCTATAAACGTTTGGATTGTTCATATTACGTACGTTAATAACCTTAAAATGTAGTATTTGAGTTAAATATTAAAAGTAATTTAATTTTTTAATTCATTTTTTTTTTTTAATTGCATTTATAAATATTCAAAATTCTAATCAATGCTTCTTTATGATTTCAAATTTTCAATACATTTTAATTAACAGACAGATTCAAATAATTTATTATAATTAGGAAATGTTAAAAAAAAAAAAAAAAACAAAAAATTAAAATCTTGCAATACTTCTTAGTTTAAATTCAATATTTTAAGTTCAAAAATTTAGAAATAAATTAACTTTTGCAAATTGAATGAAATTTCAAATAAAATAAGAGATATATTAAAGATTGATCAACTATTATTGCATTTAATCATTCAATTAATTTCAGATATTAAAATTAAAGTAGTAAAAATAATAATAATAATAATAAAATTACATTTACAGGTGTTCAATTTGAAATTATTGATTTCTTCAATTGATTTCATTTTCAATTTTATAATTTTGAATATATAAATATATACACTTCTCAATATGTATCAAAATTAATACTTATCAAATATTCTCGTAAAATTATCAGTCTATTTTAATTTAAATTGAAAATATTTATAACTTTTTTGTTTTTTTAAATAATTTTTCATACTTTAAACAAATGAAATTAATTTAAACAAAATTAATTTTCATTAAAAAAAAATTGAAAATTTTCACTTACTTCTTCAATAAGTCTTTGATAAATGTTAAAATTGTTAGAATTTGAAGATGCACCATATTTTTCAAATGTAATCAATGCTTCATCATATTTCATTTGTTTAATTAATTCGGTTGCATATAATGCGACATATTTATCCAACAATGGTTGATGCTACAAGTAATTTTCTTTATCAAATATACAGTAAGTAAGTAAGTTAAGTAAGTAAATAAGTAAGTAAATAAATAAGCGTAGAATTTCTAAGTAAGTAAACGTAGAATTTTTAATTTAATTTTTTATAAAAATTAGCAAAAATTGTTGCAAAAAGAATAAAAAAACAGGGTGTAATTTTATTATAATTTAAGTGGTATTAATTAAAGAACAATTGAAATATTTAATAAATTTAAATCTTTTTTCTTTTTTTTTTTAAAATATCTATCAATAAAACTTATCTTTCTTTAAATTTTAAACCGCCCCTCCCCCCAAAAAAAAAGACGAAAACTTTAAAAATTGGGAAAGAAAAAAAAAAGAATTGAACAAAAAATCCTTTAAAATTCTTTTCCATTTCTTTTCCTTTAAAATTAATAAAATCAATTGATTAAAAATTTGTTTAATTTTGTAAATTTTTTTTTTCCATAGCTAACTAAAATTTTTGATAATTTATGCTAATGAATATAGCAAATTTTTGAATTTTTTAAATTTGAATTTTATAACAATTTTTTAATTCAACAACAAATGTAATATTACATTTGCTATTATTTATTTTAATAATATCTCTTTTCTTTTTTTTTTTAAATTAGTTTAATAATTTCGAGATTATATATATATTTTTTTTTTCATATATTTCATATGGAAATTAATAACTAACTTTTTGTTGATATGCTATTTCAAGCGCTTTTTCCCACTGACCATGTTCCAGTAATGCGTCAATAGCGCTAACAATATCAACATCCATTAATTCACCTAATCGACCTTGCTGTTTCAATGATTCCCGGTATTTTTCATCCACAAAATCGGCTAAATCCGGAACAAATTCGATAGCTAACTAAAATTTTAATAATTTATGCTAATGAATATAGCAAGCAATTACAGCATATGTAAAAATTAAAGTAATAATTATTTTACTTTTTTAGCTTTTGACCATTGTCCACCAAGCAAGAATGCTTTAATAGCATTATCCGGTTGATTTGATGCCAAAAATAATTCAGCTGCTTCAATAAACCTTTAACAATAATTATAAAATTTAAAAAAAAAAATCATTTAAAAGAATAATATCACTTTTCATCATTTAAAAAAAAAAAAATTAAAATAATATCACTTTTATGAAATATAACTATCATAATTTTTCAGTTTTGAAAATATTTTAATTTTAATTTAAAAATTTTGAATATTCAATTTTTTGATTATGTTTTAATTTTATTAATTAAAAAAATTATTATATAAGCAAATTTTAATAATTCTACTAATATTTCAATTATTACTATTATAGAAAGCATATTAATATAAACTTATTAAGGAAATAAAAAAAAAATATTAACTAATTTTTTCAATTTTTTTTATATATAAATTTTTTTTTTTTTTTAAATGAAAATTCAACAAACTATTTTAGTAATAAACTATTTTTCACCGTTTCAAATGAATGAAAATTTCTGCAATTTCATCAACAATTGCAGAAGTTACATCATCTGAGAGAAATTTTATTGCTAATTCTCCAGCCTGAAAAAAAAAATAATAATAATAATAAATAAATAAATAATAATTTCTTAGTAATAATAGCAAAGTTTTTTTTTTTTTTTTTGAAATAAAATTTCAATGAAAAGCAATTTTGATATTCAAATAGAAATATTTGAACAAATTTTTAATCATTTAACAACATTTTCCTCTTCTCCGAGCATTTTCCTCTTATGTACTTAACAATTTTATTAAATTTAAATTCTATTCGAATTTTAGATTTAATAAAATTTTAATTCTAACTGAGCATTTTGGATAAATTATAGTTAAATTGGCAACTGTTAAAATAATCAAACTTCAGTAAAAAAAAAAAGAAAATGGAAATTTTTTTTTTTTGTAATTGGATATATGATAAGATAAAAGATAATTATTATCAATTAATTTCAATAAATAAATGCAAAATAAAATAATATTAACTTTTATTAAGTCCATTTGAATTTAAATTTAATAAAACTTTAATTCTGACTAAACATTTTTGAATAAATTATGATTGAATTGATGATTTAGTGATAAATTAGGCAAATTTATGATAAGAGAAAAGATAATTTTTATTAATTAATTTCAATAAATAGATGCAAATTAAAATAATACTAAATTTTATTAAATCCATTTGAATTTAGGTTTAGTGAAATTTTAATTCTAACTAAACATTTTGAATAAATTATGATTGAATTGATGATTTAGTGATAAATTAGGCAAATTTATGATAAGAGAAAAGATAATTTTTATTAATTAATTTTAATAAATGAATGCAAAATAAAATAATATTAACTTTTATTAAGTCCATTTGAATTTAGGTTTAGTAAAATTTTAATTCTAACTAAACATTTTGAATAAACTATGATTGAATTGATGATTTAGTGATAAAGTAGGCAAATTTATGATAAGAAAAAAGATAATTGTTATTAATTAATTTCAATAAATAAATACAAATTAAAATAAAATTAACTTTTATTAAATCCATTTGAATTTAGGTTTAGTATAATTTTAATTCTTACTAAACATTTTGAATAAATTATGTCTGAATTGCTGATTTGGTGATAAAGTAGGCAAATTTATGATAAGAGAAAAGATAATTTTTATTAATTAATTTCAATAAATAAATGCAAATTAAAATAATATTAAATTTTATTAAGTCCATATGAATTTAAATTTAATAAAACTTTAATTCTAATTAAACATTTTGAATAAATTATGATTGAATTGATGATTTGGTGATAAAGTAGGCAAATTTATGATAAGAGAAAAGATAATTTTTATTAATTAATTTCAATAAATAAATGCAAATTAAAATAATATTAAATTTTATTAAGTCCATATGAATTTAAATTTAATAAAACTTTAATTCTAATTAAACATTTTGAATAAATTATGATTGAATTGATGATTTGGTGATAAAGTAGGCAAATTTATGATAAGAGAAAAGATAATTTTTATTAATTAATTTCAATAAATAAATGCAAATTAAAATAATATTAAATTTTATTAAGTCCATATGAATTTAAATTTAATAAAACTTTAATTCTAATTAAACATTTTGAATAAATTATGATTGAATTGATGATTTGGTGATAAAGTAGGCAAATTTATGATAAGAGAAAAGATAATTTTTATTAATTAATTTCAATAAATAAATGCAAATTAAAATAATATTAAATTTTATTAAGTCCATATGAATTTAAATTTAATAAAACTTTAATTCTAATTAAACATTTTGAATAAATTATGATTGAATTGATGATTTGGTGATAAAGTAGTCAAATTTATGATAAGAGAAAAGATAATTTTTATTAATTAATTTCAATAAATAAATGCAAATTAAAATAATATTAAATTTTATTAAGTCCATATGAATTTAAATTTAATAAAACTTTAATTCTAACTAAACATTTTGAATGAATTATGTTTGAATTGCTGATTTGGTGATAAAGTAGTCAAATTTATGATAAGAGAAAAGATAATTTTTATTAATTAATTTCAATAAATAAATGCAAATTAAAATAATACTAAATTTTATGAAATATTAATGTTTATACCCGTTTTAAAGCATTTACAACTGTATCAGTATCAGCTGTTTCTGAATCCTTTACTTTTAGATAGCATTGAATAGCTCGAATATATTCACCTTCACTTTCCCAATCTCGTGCTTGTGCAATAAATGATAAAATACCTTTTGCGCCAGATTTTAGCTGTACTTGATCAAATTCCTCCTTTAATAATAATATTTACAAATTATCATTTATTTAATTTCTTTATTTTTATTTAATTTTGATTTATTTAATTTATTTTTTATTGTCAATTTATGTTTTTTTTTCCTAATGTTTACATATTTTTCCATCAATTCATTTAACAATTCTCGAAATTATAATTTGTAATAGAAATAAATGACAATGTAAACAATAAACAACAATTAATTAATTAATTAGGATCAAACTACAGTTATCATGACTTATTTAGTTTACTTTATTGTCAATTTACTAATGTTTACATATTTTTCCACCAATTTATTTAACAATTCTCGAAATTATAATTTGTAATAGAAATAAATGATAATCTAAACAATAAACAACAATTAATTAACTAATTAATTAATTAATTAGTTAATCATGATCAAATTTGTTAGCTTAGCAAATAATTTGCATATGTTTTATTAATAAATAAGTCATGATCAAACTTATTGTAGTTTTATTATCGTAGCAAATAATTCTAAATTTATTATCGTAGCAAATAATTTGCATATATTTTATTAATAAACAAATAAATAAATAAATCATAATCAAATTTATTAGCTTAGCAAATAATTTGCATATGTTTTAGTAATAAATAAATAAATCATGATCAAATTTATTAGTTTAGCAAATAATTTGCATATGTTTTATTAATAAACAAATAAACAAATAAATAAATGATGATCAAATTTATTAGCTTAGCAAATAAATTGCATATGTTTTATTAATAAAAAAATAAATGATGATCAAATTTTTGTTAGCTTAGCAAATAAGCTTATTTTAATAGTAAATTTTTAAAATTATTACTTACTTCTAAATGTTTTAATTCTGCAGGCATATAATCTTTAGCAATACGTATAGCATCTTGCCACATTTCTAATTCTTTATAACATCGTAAAATTATTTCAGGACGATTTGCCCGAAGTAAGCAACTTTCGGCACATGCAAAATTTTTTTGCTCAATTGCCATTCGAGCTTGTCGAATGTATACATCAGATAATGTTTCTGGACTATGCTTTCTATAAATTATTTACTCAAAAAAAAATTTTTTTAAAAAAAAAAAAGAAAAAAAAATTTTTTTTAAAATTTAGTTATTACTAAATTTATTGCTTGTGTAAATTTTTGCTATTAATTTAATCAATAGTACAAAATTGTGATATCATTTAGTATTTTCATAAGATTAATTAATATTTATGCTAATACTATTATCAATTAAAAGCAAAATAGGTATTTGGTTTTAATTTTGAATAACTTTGATTTTTTTTTTTATTCCAAAAAGTTTTATTTTTAAAATATACAAACACGTGCTTAGATTAGATATTATTAAATATTGATTGTTTACATTGTTTTAATTGATATTTAAAAAGTAAACATACTTTTTACAAAGATTAATTATTATTAAATATTAATTGTTTACATTGTTTTAATCGATATTTAGAAAGTAAACATACTTTTTACAAAGATTAATTATTATTAAATATTAATTGTTTACATTGTTTTAATCGATATTTAGAAAGTAAACATGCTTTTTACAACGATTAATTATTATTAAATATTGATTGTTTAGTAAACATACTTTTTGCAAAGATTAATTATTATTAAATATTAATTGTTTACACTGTTTTAATTGATATTTAAAAAGTTAAACATACTTTGCAACTCGTTCAGCATTTTCCCAATCTTGATCATGAATATACATTAATATAGCTTCTTTAGGCTTACCACTTTCTATAAAATGCATTTCAGCTTTTTCAAATTCACCTTCCTCTTCCAATTGTTGTGCTAATTTGAAATGCACTGATGGTAAACGATTTTTTGCTTCCAAACGACACAAATCAAATGCAAAATCGAATGCTCTTAAAAAAATATCTTAAATAAGCAATAAATTTTAAAAGAATGAAAAAGAAGAAAAAAAAAAAAAAACAATCATACAATAATTGAAAGAATGAAAAAGAAGAAAAAAAAAAACTATTTTATAATAATTGAATGATTTTTATTTATTGAAAATTTATTATTACCTATTTGTTTTTTAATTCATTTCTAGTCCAATTATTATTATTATTATTTTTTTTTTAATATTTATTAAACATACAAATATATTTAGCAAAAAAATACTTTTAATCTTATACTTACCCATTTTCGCATGCATAATCAATCGATTCATCTAGTAATTTAAATTTCTGCAATAATTTCACTGCTGCATCACTATTTAAACTTTTTGC